ATATATATATATATATATATATATATATATATACACATGTATATACACATATACATGTATATACACATACATGTCACATATATTATAAAATACATATGTACACATACATAATACATGTATTTATACATATATACATATACATAGATAGTTTTGAAGAAAAAAAAAATCTAGTCCTAGTCCTAGTCCAAACATACACTAAACGTAAGATAAGTGTTATCCAACTTAGACCAAGCCAAGCCAAGCCAAGACAGTCCCTAAGCATAGTCCATGTCAAGACAGTCCTGTGTATCAAACGAGCCCTAACATTCTAACAACATTCAACCTTTCACCAAGGTAACAAACTAATCAATAGTGCTCAAACGCTAATCGTTTAGTAAATTAGTATGACACTAAACTACTCATTTGGACACAATCGACAATGTAATCTCATGATCTATACTGTTAATTTATTAATTAGGTCACAATTCAAGGATCATTCTTACAGAACTTCAATCAGAAATCATTTAGCAATCTGATCAGTTTGAACGATTCACAAGATTGTATTTGTCTTCCTTATTAAAACATTCCTTATTTTTTAATTTGGGAGATGAGTGCGGTAATGTTTTTAAGTTTTTGACGGGACCAAGTGATTTGTATAATTTCTCCTACAAAATTATGAAAAATTATGAGAGGATCCAAATCCTATGAATAAACTACACTTGCCACCCTCCACATGCAGTTTAGTCAAATCTTTGCCCACTCTATTTTTATTTTTTTTTAATTGAGAAGTTTCCAGAACGTTTAAATTGTTTTAAACTTCTAAAACATTTAGTTAAAGGGGTTTTACCAGCAGATGCAACCTTATCTATTGAAGAAAAAAAGTTTGTGAAAGAGAAATAAAAGATACAATATTGATTTTCTCTGTTTGTTTAATGAAAGGGATATATATTTTTTATAGCTCATGGCCCATCCTAATAGCAATTGAACCCCAAATTGTTATCGGTTCACAACCACTTCACATTCTCATGCCCTCGGTGTTAGTGGGATGGGATGAATCGTGGATGCTCATCATTCTGCTTTTTTTTTTTTTTTTATCATTTGTCCTGCCTTTTTCTGCTTTCCTTTTGCTCCTTTCCCGCGTTGCAATTTTATTTGCAGCCTTTATCGAGTTGCAGACTAATTCCCGTTCACACCGGGTCGACCCGTAAGGGGTAAAGTGCTGGCCAAAGTGGTGACTCCGTACAAGAGCAGGGATCGAATTCTACTTCTTCTTTCGCTCAATCATTTGTCCTGCCTTTTTTCTGCTTTCCTTTTGCTCCTTTCCCGCGTTGCAATTTTATTTGCAGCCTTTATCGAATTGTGCAGCCTTTATCGAGTTGTTTTTTGTGCAAATTTAATTTCTTTATTTTATGAACCAAATACGGCAATCTCATTGCAATGAATAATAGATAGGTCATTGACCACAAAGTAAAATAAATATATATAGTACATAAAAATGGGTCCATCCATGTGAATAATGCGGATAGATATTTTTTGTGTTTGGTACGAATTCCTTCTCCCAACTTAACTTGTGTACTTTGATATCATCACACTCGGAAAAGAGCTAGAAAACGACACATCCTTTTTTGTACGAAAATATTAACGGATTACAATAGTGAGTTTTGCATATGGAAATACATTAATCGTATTTTGTTTCTCTTCTCTCTTCATAATCACAATTGCATTTTGTTAATTATATATATATAAATGATATTCTACTTTAATTTAATTTAAACTATGAAAAAGGGGATTTGAACTCAGATGTAAAATAGGGAGCACATTCTCTAACTAGCCAAGTTGCCATAACGCATTTTGTTTTTAATTCGTCCCTGTAATAAGTGTTGGGAAAGTTAACCAAAAAGCTACTTGCAGATGAAGCATATGACTGGACTGTAGGCAACATGTATATCATTGATTGATACTAAATGACTAAGAATTAAATTAGAGAGCAAATGGTTGACTAAGTATATAAATTGACGTCTTAACTTAATCTAAGACAGAATAAAACAAGTTGTGATTAAATAAGAAGACTTAGCTCAAAAAGAGGAAAAAAAAAAAAGGAAGACAACCACTCTGCCCTCATCAATTTTTTTTTAAACCCACTGTACAAATTTTATTCTAAATATATATTGTTCCTTAATACACTCAAATTAATAATTAAAATAAAAGTTTTCAAAGACGCGACAAAGCCAGAACCTGCTGATTTTGATAGTCAGAATCCATGACGGTTTGTGAATTTTCCGACACTACGAAGCCCTTTGCCCGATCCCTCAACTCATTTTTGAGAACCTTGCCCGTTGGGTTCCTGGGAAGTTGGGGCAGAAACTCCACCTTCTTGGGCAACATAAAGTGAGGCAAGTTTTTCCGACAATACGCTATTATTTCAGACTCAGTGGTGCCCTCAGCGTTGCTTCTCAGAGCCACAAAAGCACATGGACTTTCGCCCCATCGAGGGTGAGGCATTGCAACTACTGCTGCCTCCATCACCTTTGGGTGCCCATGTAACAAGTTCTCCACTTCCACACTGCTAATGTTCTCTCCTCCTGATATGATCACGTCTTTTGACCTGTCCTTTATCTCCAGGTAGCCGTCCGGGTGCACAACCCCGACGTCTCCTGTCCAGAACCATCCGTTCTGGAATGACTTCAAGGTCTCCTTACTATCCTTGTAGTACCCTTTCATGATACTACTCCCGCGCAAAACAATCTCCCCCATGGTCTTCCCGTCATGGGGGACACTCTCCATTGTTTCCTTGTTCTTCACGTCCACGTCAGCAAGAGTCAATATGCTTATGCCTTGTCTTGCCTTGAGCTTTGCCTGGTCGTCCCGAGGCAGCTTGTTCCACTTGGCCTGCCACTCGCAGACCAAGGCAGGTCCCGTTGCCTCGGTTAGGCCATACGCGTGGGTCACTTTGAATCCCAGCGGCTCGATTTTCTGGAGCAGTGGGGCGGGCGGAGGTGCTCCGCCTGTGAGGATCTGGACGGGCACTGCGAGATCACGGCGCTCGTGCGGTTTGGCGTCGAGGAGGATGTTGAAGATGATTGGGGCGCAGCACATATGGGTGACCTTGTGGCGGTGAATGTTGCGGTAGATGTCGTAGGCGGTGGTGTTGCGGAGGCAGACATTGGTGCCACCACGTGCGGCAACGCCCCATGTGAAGGTCCAGCCGTTGCAATGGAACATGGGAAGTGTCCATAAATACACAGGCTCACTCCCCATTTCCCAACCAAGGACCAGGCTGAGAGTGCTCAAGTAAGCACCTCTGTGGCTGTACACAACGCCTTTGGGTTCTGACGTCGTTCCGGAGGTGTAGTTCAAGGCCACCGCGTCCCACTCGTCGGCGACCTCCACAGAGACAAAACCGGGGTTGCCCTTTTTGATGAGCTGCTCGTACTCCAACTCGCCGAGCCGAATGCCTGTGGGGGAGTCGATGTCGTCGATCACGATGACCAAAGGCATGGATGGCTCATGAGTAGCTCCGGAAATGAGGATCCTGAGGGCCTCGCGGGCCAGGGGGACGAACTGGTAGTCAACGAAGAAGACTTTGGCCCCCGAGTGGCGGAGAATGGAGGCGATGTTTTTGGCATCGAGGCGGGTGTTAACGGTGTTAAGCACAGCCCCGGCCATGGGCACTGCGAAATGCATTTCATACATTGCTGGAACATTAGGAGCCAACACTGATACCTGGAATAAGCAGAACAAATTAAATTTATATTCGGGAATTAATAAACAACAATGCTAGGGTCACCAAATTTGTTAAATACGGTAACATCAACTCGGAAAAGAGAAAAAGGAAGAACACTTACAACATCATGCTTGACGATGTTAAGAGAAAGAAGGGAGGAAGCGAGACGGCAGCAACGATCGTAGGTTTGGCCCCATGTGAAGCGAGTGCCTTCATAGATGACTGAGGTACGGTTAGCATAAAAGGCAGCAGCTCTCTTGAGAAAAGTTGTAGGGGTGAGAGCTGTATAGTTAGCCTCACATTTGGGAAGCATGTTCATTGATTCAAAGGCCATTTTGGGTAAGCTTCTTCTTCTCTAAGTCTGGATAATTTTATCACAGAGAGAGAGAGAGAGAGAGAGAGAGAGAGAGAAGTGGTGGATAATTTGGTTGTGCGAAAGACGTGAGACTCAGAGTGTATGGAAGGAGCAATTTATAGTGAATTGCAGGCTCCGAGGGTCCATGTTGTTTGGGTGGGTGGTGGTGGGAATGGAAAATGATGGTGGATGCTGCGCGATGCTTGTGTGGAAATTGCTAAGATATTACAATTAACAAAAGTTTGAATGCAAGAAAACTATTGACCTTTTTTTTTTAAAAAGAAAAAAGAAAATTTTTCCGGGACCTAATGGGTTTTCACACCACCCATGACCCCCCCATGGGCTGCTTGACTTCTCCACTCCACTGGAATCCTTTTCACTCAAAATGTGTATCACTACAGACAAACTACTGTTGCGTGGGCGAGAATCTTTAGACTATACCATAATTTGAAATTTTCGTGTGGGAATTATTATTATTTTTTGGTTAAAAGTGTACAGTTTCTCTAACATAGGGTTTAATCAGATGTTTAGGGTTATTTTCTGTATATTTGAATCGTTGGTTTTCTTTTTATGTGAAAAGGGATATTCGAATTTCAAACCTCTTCTAATATTAAGAAAAAAAAATATCGCTAAACTAAAAAGCTATTTAGTGGAAGTATCTAAGCACTAAAATAATGTGGAATAAAAATGAACCCAGCAACTAAGATCATAGTACGAGTAACGATATCATGTTTCTTTCGTTGCATGTCAAATCTCACATTTCAAGGACCACCTGCCCCTGAGATCATGTTTCTTTGGTTGCAGGTCAAGTCTCACATTTCAAAGGACCACCGATGCTATTTTAAAACCGAATTAAATTGAGTGATTTTGCTAAAACAACATAAATTGAGTTCTTTTTCACACATAACAACCTTGTAAAGTATTTTTAAAAACACATTTAATGTCAACAACCTCCTTGAAATAAAAAAATAAAATTACGTCAACAGCAAATATATAAGAATTAAACCCACTAGCAGCTCTCTGCTTACTGACTTTAGCCATGAAATTTTGTTTAAATATAGTAAAACATGGAAATGGTTGGTTCGTTGGCCTTGCAACTTGCCTGCTGCGAACAGATAATATTTTACTCAAAGTTAATATTTTCATGCTTGACCTGAGATTTGTTAACTAACGTTGTATTTTATCAAGGTCTCTCCTATTCAATTTGCAAAAATGGACTTGACCCTTGAATCAAAGGATCGTGTAGAACATTTACTCCAAGAAAATTCATGTGGAAATTAGTTGTTAAACTCAACTCATGCTAGGAATTTTTATGTTGTTTGGTTTGACCCTTTTTCTTTTTGTTTGAATCTTCGAGGGATCCGCTCGTGCCTTTTGAATCTGTGGGATCTGCCTCTTATGAGGCTGCGCCGCCTGTCTTTTGCCGGCTGAAGAACATGAGAGGAAGAGATCGTTCAAATGAGAACTCCTATACGCAAAATTTAGGGTCTGCTTGGGACTGTTTGCTTATGAGAATTTTTGGAGCTAGGTGCTTCTTCATTCATTCCAAGTACACGATAGAAATATGCATAAAATAGTGATTATTTACTTATTCATTGCTAAGTAGCATTATATGATATTTGATTATAATATCTAGATATATTTTTTTTTTCCACAAAAAGAAGTTTTATAGAATTCTCCTAGAAAATCTTAGTGACTCCAAGAATATCTTCTTTTCTTTTTGTTGAACTTTCCTAAGAAAGTTTAAGATGGAATTTCCAAGAAGTTGTGTTTTAGTTTATGAGAATTTTCCAAGCACTTTGATGGAGGGAAACAGCTTCTCCACTTGAACAATTATTGTTCTTTCTAAGTTGTGATGATACAGAAGAAAGATTGGGTAGCTAGGTTCCTGCTTTTTTCTCTGTCCCAACAAGACTAAAGGCACCAAATTAAAAGAAACAGAAATTGAATCCTATAAGTATCTAACTTTCTAATGGCACGTTTGAGAAATTGATGAAGAATAGTATAGCTAGTAATAGTTTCCAAACGCTTTTTTTCTTCTTTATAATGGTAAATTATTTTTGTAGTATACAACAAACCTGAAATATTTTGGTCCGCAAAACCTGAAGTTTTGATGAGATCTATAATTAAAATTTGTCCCCTTATATGGCAAAAAGAAAAATATCTGAACATGTGGATTCTGTAGGCAACGTTCAATGCAATCATTCATTCATGTGGTTGCATCATCTTTTATTTTTTTGCCAAAGATATGAAAGGGACTGGGAAAGCTCACACACACAGGCAGTGGCGGACCCACCACTAGTAAAAAAAAACCCTTGCGCGACCAAATTTTGCGCGACGAAATACAATTCGTCGCTCAAAGTGACTTTGCGCGACGAAAATTAAACTTCGTCGCTCAAAGTCTAATGCGACTAAATTTTGAGCAATGAAACACAAATCGTTGCACAAAGTCACTTTGCGCGACAAACCCTTGCCCGACGACAAAGCATCGTCGCTCAAAGTAACTTTGCCCGATGAAACACTAAAATTCGTGCACAAAGTCTTGAGCGATGAAGTGTGGTTCGTCTCGTAAAGTCTTTACAAAAATAAAGAAAATAAAAAATTATTTTTAAAAATCTTTGCACGACTTTGCGCGACGAAACAATAAAATTCGGTGCACAAAGTCTTGCACGACAAAGTGTGGTTCGTCTCGTAAAGTCTTTACAAAAATAAAGAAAATAAAAAATTATTTTTAAAAATCTTTGCATGACTTTGCGCGACGAAACAATAAAATTAGGTGCACAAAGTCTTGCACGGCGAAGTGTGGTTCGTCTCGTAAAGTCTTTATAAAAATAAAGAAAATAAAAAATTATTTTTAAAAATCTTTGCATGACTCTGCGCGATGAAACAATAAAATTCGGTGCACAAAGTCTTGCGCGACAAAGTGTGGTTCGTCTCGTAAAGTCTTTACAAAAATAAAGAAAAAAAAAATTATTTGTAAAAATCTTTGCATGACTTTGCGCGACGAAATAATAAAATTCGATGCACAAAGGCTTGCGCGACGAAGTGTGTTTCATCTTGTAAAGTCTTTACAAAAATAAAAAAATAAAAAAATTATTTTTAAAAATCCTTGCATGACTTTGCGCGATGAAACACAAATATTCGGTGCACAAAGTCTTGCGCGACGAAGTGTGTTTCGTCTCGCAAAGTCTTTACAAAAATAAATAAAATAATTTTGTTTTTATAAGAATCTTTGCATGACTTTGCGCGACAAAATACTAAACTTCGTCTCGCAAAGTCTTTACAAAAATAAATATAAAAAAAAATTATTTTGTTAGAAAAATATAATATTGTAGTTCGGATTGGGTTTTTGTTAGAAAATATATTTTTTAAATTGACGATCAGATTGGTTCATTGTATTCATATTGGGTCAAGGAGTGTAGCTGTAAAAAATCATCAAAATCGAAATTGAAATAACCGTTAAATCGTGATTTTTCGTTTATAACCGTCGAAAAGTTTTGTCTCCTTATTTGACGGCTGCCGACCAAATAACTTGGTGGCTAATTCTAGGAGACTATAAATTAAAAACATTTCCCTAACCAGTTACTTCCCCCAATTTACTTCTCTCGTATCCAGTCTCATGCCATCAAAACAATATATTCACTAACAATTAAGAGTTTATTTATCCTTTCATTAAATACAACATAAGATTTTGTGGTATCCACTAGTGTAAATATTTTAAATTGACGATCGAATTGGTTCATTGTATTCATATAGGTTCAAGGAGTGTAGCTGTAAAAAATCATCAAAATCGGAGTTAAAATAACTGTTAAATCGTGATTTTTGTTTATAACCATCGAAAAGTTTTGTCCCATTACGTGATCTCTGAATGTTTATTTTTTCCAATTTTTAGGGTATATGATCTCGAAGTATAAACAAACATGTTTGACGGTTGGATCGTTGAAACTAGTTTCATAGAATACATATGCCATCAAAACAATATATTCACTAACAATTAAGAGTTATTTATACTTTTGTTAAATATAACATAAGATTTTGTGGTATCCACTAGTGTAAATATTTTAAATTGACGATCGAATTGGTTCATTGTATTCATATAGGGTCAAGGAGTGTAGCTATAAAAAATCATCAAAATCAGAGTTGCAATAACCGTTAAATCGTGATTTTTCGTTTATTACCGTCGAAAAGTTTTGTCATATTACTTAATCTCTGAATGTTTATTTTTTTCCGATTTTTGGCGTATATGATCTGGAAGTGTAAACAAACAAGTTTGACGGTTGGATCGTTGAAACTAGTTTCGTAGAATGCGTATGCCATCAAAACAATATATTCACTAACAATTAAGAGTTTATTTATACTTTTATTAAATATAACATAAGATTTTGTGGTATCCACTAGTGTAAATATTTTAAATTGACGATCGAATGCAGTCATTGTATTCATATAGGGTCAAGGAGTGTAGCTGTAAAAAATCATCAAAATCAAAATTGAAATAACCGTTAAATCTTGATTTTTCGTTTATAACCGTCGAAATGTTGTCCTGTTACTTGATCTCTGAATTTTTATTTTTTTCCGATTTTTGGCGTATATGATCTCGATGTGTAAACAAACAAGTTTGACGGTTGGATTGTTGAAACTAGTTTCGTAGAATGTGTATGCCATCAAAACAATATATTCATTAACAATTAAGAGTTTGTTTATACTTTCATTAAATATAACATAAGATTTTGTGGTATCCACTAGTGTAAATATTCTATGGCGGCATTTATCCTGATTGGTGATCTATGCCGTTCGGCCTCCCGATCCAATAGTCTATGGCGGCAATCGAAATAGACTTTCTTTGGCACGTGGGGTTTATCCTTTGGTGCCGGAACCACTAACCGCTTGGAGGGCGCATGCGTCACCTTTGCCACCTTTTTACCCTTTTTCTACCGATGGGGTGTCTGTAGACTCTGAGAGGATTGATTAGTCTGAATGTTTTGTGTTTGCTGATGGTTAAACAATTGTTGTGTTTCGTCTACTTTGGACGAGAGAAGATTGTTGTGTTCCTGTAACTTAGCCATGTCCTACCGAAGAGCCGTT